TGGTACTATTATAATAGGAGAAGGAAATGCAGATCTATACGCCGGCAAAGGGTGGTCGCAATAAGACCTGGTTGGAGAGCACGAAAACCTTAATTAGGAGACCGGGTCATGAAGGTACCTTTAGGCTCCATAAGTGGGAATTTGGGGATCATTGTAGTCAATGTTTAGAGACACAGAGTGACATGGTTCAGAGTTGTAAACAGTGGCATTCGTGCATCTTCTAAATTTCTTTGCAACCCTTATTCACTGAAATTCTCCATTTTCTCTTTGAATCTACTTTCAAAGTTTCTGTCTTTCTCTTATTGCTTCACATCCAAGTGATCATCCAAAACACAGCAACCAAAACGGTCCTACGAAAGTGCAAGTTTAATGGTTGTACAAACTGAACAGAACTGCCCAGAGCATCTACTAAGTAAGCACTCTGGTATTCTAGTTGAATTCATAATTGAACCTTAGTACTGTTGTTGATCTTAGTCTTGATCGTCGTGTTCACTTCACCATTTTATTTCCTTCTCGGATGTTCTTACCCGATATTCTTTTTTACCTTCAGTGTTTCAACTCATGTGAAAATGGATAAAAGACAATTCAGGCTTTGTGTATCATGGCCGCGCACCGGCATTTTACTTCTGCCTTTTCAATGATTTCCTGCATTTAAGTTGCTCACTTTGAAAAAAGATATCTGAAGAATATATGTACCTAGAAAAACGCTGGTAAATTGGTTCTAGCCTTCAAAATACGTGAGCATGTTACTGGTTTATGCCTTTGGATCAACCATTGTGGATTGAGCAGATCATCCTCTTCAGAAAGTCGGCTGATATTGACCACTAAGTTTCAGGTTTCATAACTATCTTTCGTTTTTCTCTGACGGGAATTCTCCTCTTAGTGTCCTAAGTTGACCAAATGAGGTGTTCTGCTGAAAATACTCTTTTTTCATTTATGGAACCCTAGGCTTCCTACAGATACACATACATGTAGTACATCCAGAATAGAACACACAGATCGTTGATATTGGCCTCGTTTGGAACTGTGACACTGTTGGATAGAAATGGCAATGCAATTAGCACGTAAACCATCAGGATCCACTGTACCATTTCAGTGTTCTAAATTGAACCCAGACCCCAAGAAATACTGCTCGTGACACTGTATTCTTTGTTGTGTCCATCTCGAGTGTTCTGACTGCTCGATGAGTCCCAGTTCCGGATCGAAGTGCGGCTAGGTGGATTACGACTACTGATTCAAATTCCGAGTGCCACGGTCATTTGTGTTTTATTTCAATGTATGTGAAGTTTTGCGTGTGTGGTTGACATTTTTCTTTTCCCTTATCAATTTCACCACTTTGATTCGGGAATATTCTTTCGACGACGCGGTTCTACAAAGTAAAAACATGGCAGAGAAAAGAAGAAATGGAAAACCGGAAATATTAGGCACAAAATGGGAAGTTTAGTATAATTTTAAGAGCACACAATTTGACATGTTCAGTAGACAATTTCTAGGTTTACTGCTGGTTGAATGATAAACAGAAATAGCGGTTTATAGTTCCAAAAAAGAGAAAATACGTGATTATTCTTGTCTTCTTAGCCCCTAGAAACTGTCTGCTTTTCACTAAGATTCTCTTTGGTAGCCCCAGCTTTTGTAATTAAGGTATTGCATTGGCACCAAGTTTGCACGCATATCAGTGATATATATATATATATGATATTTTACTTGAGTGATCACTCAATCTATCCCTTTATTCTAGAGTAGTTTTGTATAAATGACTCAGGATTCCACATTAATGGATATTGTTGCGGAATCCGTTGAGGAAGCCCAAGAGGACGATAATAATCCTGAAGCGGAACTTAACGTGGTACAAGTAACTCAAGAGTAAGTTCCATTTAGGCCAAAATCGGGAGAAATCAGTGAGGAGAAACAACCAATGTTGCCTCTGGACCCACAAACAGCGCAGTCCTGTTTGTGTGATTTCGGCCCCACAATAGATGGCCTTTCAATTGCACCCAGAAAATTAATTTGTTGCAGTAAGTTCATTCATTTGATTTTAAATACAGTAAAGTCGATTTTCAAACTATCCACGTGACTGATCAGCTCAATTCCTATGACGCTTTAAACACATTGCTCCAGTTTCAATTTGTGAAAACAAACAGATTATATGGAACTTTTGATTTGTGCATTCTTGTGCTCAACGAAATAAGGGTTGTTTACCGAAAAGATAGTTCAAGCTTCGTGGCGCCTCATACCATGAATTGTAAAATGTGTGCATAATAGATTCTAACACAGCCTCCCGTATAGAGCTCTTTTATTGGAATAACAATAAACATGTAATTTAGGGTAAAAGTAGAAAAAACCAAGGTGTTTTTTCCTCACTGCATGTGACTTGAGTACACTTGGGATCAAGTTTGGTCAACAAGCAAAAAAAGAACAGAAACAGCTAAAAGGTGAATCTTTACAACTTATCTGAGTGCTTGTACAAATACTTGAGTCAAAGGGACTTCTGATGCTGGCTGCATACAGTCGTTGAGGACTTCCGATCAGGAACATCAGAAGTAACCGGGATCCTGGAGTAGCCGTGTGGAGTTCATTGAAGGTGGGAGGACATACGTATAAGGTGAGCACCTCTGGTCGGGGTGCCCTAAGGGCGATCAGAAGGTCTTTTGAGAGTCTTTATTCCGTAGCATGCAGAGTTCTATGCTTGTCTAACGTACGCCCGTGACTCAGATGTGCAGATGTTCATGCTTGCCAGCACACGGTGGCCGAAACATATAAGTTAGTTAGGGTCAACTGCAACTGGGTTTGCCCATGGAATGTATGACATAATTGATGATAGATGGCCTTAAGTTATGAATCCATTTACGCTATTGTACTGTGGAGCCAGAGATGACATCATTATCCGCCAATGTCTAGTTCTACAAGGTGATTTGATTCAGAAGATTTCGAAGCTGTTTCCTTTCTGTACCCGGCCTTCAGGGAAGACGATTTAATTCGGGGTCACCCGATGAAAACCCAGAAGTGTATTGATCGTATTAGTATTAGTAGTGTTGTGAGATACTACTCACTTGTGAGTGCTATTCAAAATAATGCGATCCGCACTTTCTTTCAAGGACCAAAAATGAGCAAGCAAATGGTTGGTGTCAATGACGTCACCTTTCAAATTTGATTGATCACAGGTGTCCAGAACCTGTAACGCGCCGCTCTAGGATCATCACGTCATCACGTTATCCTGGATCACCAAAAGAAGCTACAAATTGTCAGCTTGTCGCTGTTCTTCCACACATCCCCCGAGAGTTCTTGGTAAGCACAAAAGGAGAAGAGTACTCAGACAACGCACACTTCACGCGCCTCCGGGATGCACATTTGAATACAAAGTGGAGACTTGCAGTAGTGTAAGGATCACTGATTACTGCTGGTAAGATTCATATGGGAAGGAGCTCCCTCTGAATTTATTCGCGGAAGATGAAGATGATGAAACGGCTTATCTAATGGTAACAGTCACGGACATTATCTCTGTGGGTTCTTAACAGAAAACGTTGTGGATCAATTTCCGACCTAGAACACTTACCTTACGGCAACATTGTTTATGGAGAGCGTGCAAGCATCATTTCGGACATAAAACAATCGTTAGCACAACCGATTGAAATTCAATTTACACGTCAACGACTTCCCAGGATATAATGGGATAAAAAAAAGTGATATTCGAATCTTGAGGTAAATTCAGGAGGCTGGGAGATAGCTACAAAAACTCCTCAAAGAACCACTGAGACGTCATAAAAAAGATTGTAGAAAGTATTCCAATTTGACAAAACTTCAACTGACCAATGGAACAAACCTTTATGAGCTGATATGATACATTTATTAATCTGATTCGAATCCCGTGGACCTCGCCTCTATTTGTGCTTGAAGGAAAACCTGCATTTCACAGGAATTTATCCAGTTCTGTTGTTTGCAACTGCCGCGCGAACTCTTAGAGATCAGGGTAGGTCAAAGTGCCATTGGTTGTTGGGCAGCATATCTCGACCCGTTCGGGATAACCAAATAAACTCAACTGTGGCAAGATAGAGGATATCGAATGTTCTTCTTTACGCAATAAGAAGGCTTTCAATGAGTTCCAACACTATTCATCGATTTGTATTGCAAATACAGGAGACGATCCTACCAACGCGTCATGTTCCTCAAGGAGTGAAAATGATAGAGACTGGATAAATGGTATCTGTATGGCGTAACCAACGGCACGTCATTTAAGGCCGCTGATCGTAGTTAAATCATTTTTGCACTTTTCCGCCAACATTTCGGTAGGCTGATTTCACGTTCAAGTGGAAGCCCAAGTTGCCAAAATTTAGTATTGTACTGGTACTTGTACTTACAAACTCATTAGTTGCTTGAAACCACGAACTGTAACGCGATCGACTAAGCATGTTCGCTTTCTGCCATATGTTTTTTAAATCGTTTTTCTTAATTTTCCTGTTGTGGGAGCCAGAAATCATGGAAAACCTACAAGTATACTGGTATTCTGGTTAAGGAATAAACTTATTTTTGGTTTTTGATTGATGTTTTGTTCAAAGAACGATGAGCATTTTCAACTGATTTTCTGCTTGCAGCGTCAGGCACATACTGTTTTTTTAATGAAAACAAAATGGTGGATCATTTTCAAGCAACCTTCTCCTAACTCGGTTGAATCATACTATGACGTCAGTTAGCATGACTGAACTTAACCTCAATTATGTCACCAAGAGCTGGTTTCGTGGGGTTTTAAATGTTCCGGAATCAAAAAGCATTTGGATTATCAAAGCTGTTTCCATTATTCTGTTTCACCTACCCAATCCATCCATACAGAACGAACGCTGACCAGTGTGGATCTTCTTGAATCATTTGTGTTTTTGCAGAACGTAAATCTGGCTTTTAATCAGTTGACTGATTTGGCCCCGTTGGAACGGCTGCACAATTTGCGTGAATTGAACGCGGCAAACAATCGAATCACCAGATTTCCCGTCGGACAATGGCCTTCAGTGACTCATTTGAATTTGAACAATAATGAAATTAGTCAATTGAGTCACGTGTGCATGCCTCGATTGTTAGTGTTGTCCCTAAACAGTAAGTATTATGTTGACTAGGACAATTGCCTCTCACATTTTGCATTATTCATTCACTTATAAAGATATAAGTGATTTGCAGTAAATGGACGAGTAAAATGCTCGGCAGAACAACTAGGTGTTTTCATGATAAACTTTTCTCATAACTGCAGAAAGAAATACCACTTATGGTTCATTTCGACACCAGTCAAATACTGGAAAAATATCAAGGCCAAAGTCGACAAACAGAGCATACTTATGAAACGTCGCTTTGAATTTATTGGAATGCTAATTAAAACAAAATATTTGGAAAAAATCATAAATAACGATCCTTCGTCAACATTCCAACGATTAATTCAGAGAATACATTTTCTTTTCTATGTCCAGTAGAAGCCTTAAACCTTGAACAAAATTAAATTAATTGTCATTCATCTACATACAACATCTGTACCACAGTCTCCAGCTTCTCACATCACATTGATTCTCGATGAAGATCATCACCAAAACAATAAATCAATACCCTTTTCTGTTGACAGACATATTTTGGTGTATTTATCGGGCACTTTGATCTTCATCTTAAAGCAGCACACGAACACCACAGAAAGCTGACTTTGTTTGAGATATCTCTTTATATAGGATGCATCCACGGTGTCTCCATATGATTTCCTTCTGCCAGAATGTTTTTTCATTGACACGATATTCGCGCGGTCTGAATTGTTTTCCACTTATATCAAACAGGGTGGACTAAGCTGATGAGATTACCACGAAATAGTTGAATTCAACACATCCTGTGATCCTGATGCTTTTTCTTGCCCTCACGAAAATGTTGAAGGGAACTGGTTGCATGAAATTTCTAAAGAAGCACCACCCGTCAAAGAAGTTTCTTTCTTTCAATAACTTGTTGGATTTACGTAGTTCTATCACCTGTGAAGCTAAACGTTTACGGTTTTATGAGATGCGTTTGGGAACTTCCGAATACCCACGTCAGTTTGTGAAATCTCTACCGAGCGGAAAACCACCTGTAAACCAGTGGGATTTACGTCGTGCTACAAAATCCCACATTGAAGCTTCCGTACAGAGGAATTGAAGTTGATGGTCGGACAGATCGATTCGATTTTGGATGGATTAAGTCTTGTGTGTCGAACAAAATTCTTCAACTTCATCCACCATTTACAAAACAAGACTAGCTGGAGTACCGAAAAATAACTCCACAAATTGCTGGTGTCTGCGTGCAAACGTGAGAATTTCCCCTCGCATCTGGAAAAAGTATGTGATGAACCTATCGAATATAAAACTCAGTAAATCACAACTTGAGGCCCTGTCACTTGGTTTCCAGTTTTCTGTGCCACACACTAAGGCTTAATCGCATAAACATCGAAACACAGTTTGAATACATGTACGACTAACTTTCAGAACTAGTACCAAGTTCTTTTGATGCATTTAGTTGGTTCAAAGCTAAAACAGTAGATCTAGCCAACCAGGTGTGTGTTGCCGATCCGGGACTGATGAGTGTCATGTCAGAAGGTAATTGGAAAGCATTAGAAAAACTGAGAAAGAACGACGATTTTGTCATTTTAAGGCCAGGCGAAGGATCTGAGGCTGTCACTATGAACAAACAGGATTATTTTGGAAAAATACAAGTGATTTCAGATAGAAGCAGATTTGTTCCTGACCACTCTGGACGTGACCGAACAGCAACTGTGGAACAATCCGTCGCGCGTGAATTACGTCGACTGCATAAGGATGGTCACATTAGTAGTGCCATGCATGCTCAACTCATCCCCCGAGGCTCTCGGCTACCTCTTATGTTTGGGCTCCCCAAAGTACGCAGGGATGGTATTCCACTACGACCCATACTATCTTAGATTGGAGCACCCCACCAAAAGTTGGCACGGTGGTTAGCCAAACTCATTCAACCAATCAAAGAAAAGTTTTCGAATCACACTCTGAAAGATTCGTTTGAGTTTGTAGAAAAAATCCGTGATCTTAACGTTTCTCACAAACACGGTCTCGTGTGATGTTTGGTCCTTATTCACTAATGTTCTGTTCATATGCTGATGAAATGAATATTCCAACGCATAGTCTCCAAAAATTATTGCTTCTATGTATATATATATATATATATAACCACCGGCTTGAAAACAAGCATGGTGCCAATGCAACAACAATGACAGTGAAGGGGATAGGTGGATTAGGATACAGAACATGGGGAAAAGTGAGTGAGACAGTTAAACATGAAAAATACAAGATAGCAGAATTATTTTGTGTTTCACCGTACACCTTTTGCAATTTTTGTTGTTGTTTGATGTTTCGTTTTTCTTAATGGGCACGGGATTTCGATAGACAGATCGTACAGCATTCGCGCCACTGACTTCTATCCTGCGCCATATCTCTCAGCGTCTCTAACCATAGACAATCCTCATCCCTTGGGCCCCAAC